CAAATTTACGGCTACTTCTAACCTCGCGCTTTACTTCGTCATCAACGACATTTATGATACATTAATGAATGCTCCGTTCCATCGTGCACATTTGTTTCATGTCCCCTCTAATTAATACGGCATCTAATACGACATCACTGCGGCGTTTCTGTCTTTCGCGGTCGGTGGATCGGGCTTTGAGGTGGCTTTCGTTGTCGGTATAAAGCGAGCATTATGCCCGGAACCATCTGGCATCGAGGAGGCGAAAGAGCCAGCGTGGAATATTTATCAACAACCCGGAAAGAGCGGTTCACGGGGAGGTACATCTCCCCGCCGCGCCGCGCCGGAGAAATGTCGCTATAAATCACCGGCTCGCTTTTCAAAGCCGATCATGTTTTATGAACGAAGGCGGATTAGTCGTATTAACACGTCCGGAGATACGCGGGAATGCCAATGAATTAAATAAGATGATACGGCCTGTTTCTCCACCCCCGCGCGCGCACCCTGATTGATGTCCTTCGAAGCAGATCTATTATTACTGTCTGACCTGCTCAAGAACGAGGATTAAACCCCTCAACTCTCTCTCCTACCGACAAACTGCACTGTCACCCAACCGGGAATGGGAACGCGGGACTCGTCTGTAGACCCCCAGGCGAGTAATTCTTACCTGCACTTTGTTGCCTCGTAAATGCAAGTTACGTTATCCCCTTTCACAAACGATCCTTATCATTTATCGGCTAATCTTGGAGAAGCTCTTGTAAAGCAATCTAACATCTGTTTTATTATTTTTGTTAGATTTTTAACGTGTGTGTTCCACTATCATCAACACGAACACACGAGGGTGAGTCGTTTCGCTTCTGCTATCTACAATCAGTTATCTCTATTCTCTCTCATAATTCATCAACTGGTCTAGTTTGCAAAGTTTATTATTTCCGTCAAGATTTTTGTAAGATCTTTTTGTTCCGTAACACAATGCCTTTATTCGTATCTAACATTCAGGATATCTAATTTCGACGGTGCTAGAGCAGTCCTCCTTCACGCCTGACGTTTTTCCGTCGCGGCAGATAAGCTTCGGTAAATCACGTTTGCACCGGTACGCGGCTCAATGCGCCCCGTCCGGGCGAATGCATCTTCACAGGACAAAAGGATTACGTGCTTTCCTTATCACGATCTCGAGCGGACAAGCGGGCACGTTCTATCACTCTCTCTCTCTCTCTCTCTTCCTCTCGCGAGGCTCTGCTTTGTGCGTCGCGTCCGCGGAAGCATCCGTTCCTGAATTTATATCGCGGCCGACCCCCCGAAGGATTTCTCCTACCACGGGCATCGTATCTCGCACGGACACAAAAGGAGGTCGTCGACCCGGATCAGGTAACACCCCGGACAATTAGGTCTGTTTTTTTTATTCCTGTACACTGAAGAAAAAATTTACCAAATCTTAATATTTCTTCGAATAGTACTAAATATTCACTTACGATATATAACTAAATATTTACTCGTCAAAAAAATGATAGTTAAATCAAATTAATGATTTTTGTATCAAATAAGTTTGTTTATTTTTAGTAAATATTTACTTTAGTACTATTCGAACAAATAATTATTAAAATTTATTAGTACTTTATTTTTCAATGCATTAGACTGCACTAGAACTTTCTTTCTTGTTTCCAGCAAATATCTATTTCGCTTTAAGTTCTAAAAGATACTCTGCAGTTTAGCTCAGAAAATAGACCTTAAGTTTGCCGGTCGGACGCGTGCTTGTCGAAGAACGTAGGTCGAGTGATCGCGATGGCGACGATTTGCACGCGCGAATTCTCGCTTCTATTCATAAGCCAATCTGAAATGCAACGGATCATACATATTACATGGTGCACACTGGATGCAGCGGCGAGCGGCGCATAAAAATTTACCGGTTGTTCGCAGATACGGCGACAATTTTACATAATCCAGTGTATCTACCGTTTTTTTTCATTAAGCTGCGAAACAATTTAATCACATCGACCGTTCGATTTCTACCGGTTCTTTTTCTCAACCTGACGAATGTCGCGAGGACTCGAGCCGGCGGAAATCGAATTTCCGTTTCTATTTAATGATCGTCGTACGATATTTCGTGCTCACGCCAAGAGTCAAGCTGCTCTTTTTTGAGATTATATCACATGCAGAACGCATACATGATACATTTCATCTGGAATTAGTTTGAAAATATAGAAAAACTCATGTTACATTACAAAGAATAAGCTTAACTCTTATAACCATGACTATAATTATAGAAAAATATAAAAAATCGAATTTATCTTTTTTTACGAATAATTCAGACAGAACTTCACAAAATTAGGTATATTTGAATTTTACATAAATAAATAATTTAGCGATGACAGAATGCTCGAATAATTAAGTTCAAATTATAATTGAGTAATAGCGAATTCGGTTTGATGCACTAGTGCGCACTAGTGCATGTTAAAACCGTTGTATACCGATTTAATTGTGTAAAAGTAAAATACAAATGTTTCGAATTATAAAATATCGCTTTTATTTAATAGCAATAAAGCGTATTGAGGATTTAATCCGTTTTTATATTTATACTAAATACTTTTTACGTCTATTTGTACGTTTTTTTATTATGGCTTTAATATGCACCAGTGCATCCAATCGAATTCGCTACAAGTTAACGATTCAAACATTGAAAGAGCAGACTGTTACCCTCATTATCGAATTTTAAGTATATTATAAAATATTTTACATACAATCGCTATGACGTGATCGCGCCCTCGAGACCTCGTAGCCGGAGATTGCACTCACTCGATGGGAGACTGACAATCTCGTTCGAGACCTTATTCAGACATTTCAGGCTCCTCGATTCTCTGCGATAGTATGACTAATCGCGAGCACACGGAATAATGTACGTTGGCGCGTCTCGCGTATTCAGACTGCATTTAAACAGCGCGACGAACCGCATTTTTCCTGAATAAACGGCGTGAGTCACTAAATGCGATTCCACTAGTTGCGTGTTTTCGTCTAGTCGCATGAGAGATGTGCCGCGCAGAGAAGTCGCGGGGAAGTTACATTGGCAGCGAGCCACGTCGTGTCATCGCTCGTGCAACGCAAATTCGAGATTTCCTCGGCTGGCAGGTAAACACGCGCCCGCTGCTAAATGCTCTCAATTATCGACCATCTTGAAATAAAATGTGTTGCGACCCGTCCACACCCCGGCGCGATACTTAACACCTTCTTTGACCGTGTCGCCGCCGGGGACTCCGACGATTATATAGTTCATCTCTAGAGAATGCGCAACTTCGTCATAACCAACACGATATATACATGTATATATGTTCCATTCACATTTCTCTTCGTAAAAGTTATTCATTTAGTTTACAGTACAAACGGAAATTTTAGCAAAGAAACATTAATTTAATCATAAGAAGTTAAGAGAGCATTATATTATAACGACTTATTATAAATCACTATTTTAAGATTGATGTTTTATTAATGTACGACAAAGTGCTAATCTTCAAGTACGTTCTTGTTATTTATGTTATTCTCACGATTAAGGATTAAGGATTAAATTAGAGAGTGCTAATTGCATTGTAAATCAGTGCCAACCGAACATGTTGCAACTCTGTTTTCTCTCTAATCTGTCCTACACTCTGCTTCGTGTTACAATGTCTAGTTAGCCTAATTCCGAAGTGATTCGTTTCTCGTGTTTGACAAATTCGTAAATCGCTGTGTAATCATTTTATATAGATCTTCATTTACGTAAATCTTAATTTTATGTTGAAGATTAATAAGATTAGATGATTACTCGAGAATAAGCGATACAACGATATTTTATGCATAATGTCTAATACACATTTATATTAATATAAAATATTATAAAATCCAATCTATTTGAATTTTAAATTTATAAATTCCAATATATTTGGTTTTTAACACGAGTATATATTTAACCAAATTAATTAATTCAGTCGCGATTTAGCAATTAAATAATTAAATATGAATTTATCATGATTAGACAAGTTACAGAAATATTGCTGATATTCTAAGCTTTAAATTCCGGTTGTTTTACCTGATGAAACGAACTATAAGGCTCCGAATGAAAAATAGTAGATGGCAAAAAATCGACTTCTCGAGAAAATTTAATGTTGTCGATGCGTCTGTTAGGATGTAACATTCATGAATGGACTGAAATGCAGTTTTGCCATTTGTCTCGTGTTGCTCCTTGACCTCTCGGTTCAACCTACCTACGCCACGCAAACTTTCTGTCTGGATGCGTTGCGAGAATAGTGTGAGAACGGTTGAACTTATACCAAATACCTCGCATACGTTGTTGTTGCGCCAATGGAGATGCCCTGGAGAACGCACCAAGTAAACTTCGTTTCGATTTGCTGCGCATGATATACGACGTGCATCGATCATGTGCTCGAAATAGGTTAGCGGAAATACGAGGTGCTTCAGAACTATCGCCGCTTCCCCTTAACGACAGGTTTCAGGAATGGACTGAAAAGAATGGCGATTGCTTTAATGTTGAGTTATTGAGCGTTTTCGAAGCGACTAATTGAAGCGATTTAGAATAAAGCAAGACATCAAATAATTTTTATCTAAAATTGTTCAAAAATGTCGAGGCTGTAAAAAAAAAAAGGAACCTTTTGTAAAATGAAGTTCGAATCTATCGTAAATTAATTAACTGTGATTAAATTTATCATAAATTAATTCCATTAAAAAATATTTTGCGTTTAATACACGAGTAGAAGTTTTACATAAAAAAATACATACATTGAAATTTTTGTTTATATGATTTTTTTAAAGATCGATAGTGCATCGACTATAATTTTTTTCCTTTTAATTGCTTAATTTAGAACTCGAGATGCATTTAATTAAAGATTAACATCCTTATTTCTCGATTTTTAAGCTCCCTTCGGAGAAGCCGAGGGACGATCCACACCATAGCCTAAATCAACATGGTGTGAAAATGTTCTCCTAAAATATCCTCGCACACATCTGTTAAAGTGCATTGGTCTTTTCTGTTGCAGGAAGTGTTGCACACGATCAGTGCGCCCAGCGGGCAGGTTCAGCGCATCGTAATCTTTAAGAAAAATGGCGTGCAAGCTATGGTTGAATATCCTTTTCAATACATATTTTACTATAGTAGTGCTTTTTATTAGGTCTGTTGACGTTGCTTGTATTTTTGGCACTTATTATCTTCGCTTTCTTTTTCTTCAATGCTCGAATACATATCTCGTTTTTAGTACATAAATTTTGAGAAATTTTAAACAACGCGGACAAATCTATTGCTCACCTGCAATTTCGTTGATTTACGTTAACGATTCTCAGAAGACACCATATGACTCTCAGCTATGTAAATTAACACTTTAAATTCAGTTGTATTCGCACAGTAAATTACCGAGAAGCGTACCGCTAATGTCCTGTTTGCCAAGCATAATACTGTTTTACAACCGCAGATGTTACATGTTGTATATAAAGAATTAACAAAGAGCCATTATTACTCCCTGATGTTTAGCTCGCTGGAAATTTTTAATTTTCAAAATTGATTAAACATCTCCGTTGTCTTATATTTCACTGGAAATTCCATTAAAAATACGATTTAAATTTATTGAGGAATTTGCCATTCAAATTTTGACAAGTAAATGTACAAAGAGTTCGAAATTTAAAAAATGTCTAAAATACGAGTTCAAACAATGCCGCCGGGAAACAATTTATTTTATACAAATAAACGTTGCGTTTTCGCATGAATTTGATTTACACGGTAAACTTCAGGGCGCGTTGAACACGCGAGTCAAGGGTCACCTTCGGTGAACTCGGACCCCGCGGGATCAACTCTCCATCTGACACGCTTTCTCAAGCCGGGAAAACTTTGTCAAGACATGCACTGCCGTTACGGCGTAATGAAGATTTATAACGGGGATGTGAACTGACGGAAAGGCTCGATTTTTTTTAACGTCAACTCTTTTTCATGTATTCTGCATACGAATACGTTCAACAAGCTTTGAGCTTTATCTCGCGAGTAGCGTGTCGTATTTTCGGTGAATCTCCGCATAGAGGAGTATATATTCCGGACTATTACGATCCAAATAATAGTCAAGCCGCGTCCCGCGTGACTATAAATTCGTTAGAACTTTACGTCATGTCGGATTTATACTGCACGACGGCCACTTTGTGGGAAAACAACATTGTAATGGCACAGTGAATTCCGTGAGATTTCTGTATCGTAGGAACGCTATCATTTTATCGCGTTTGCCGTAAAACTTGGTGATGAACGTTATAATTCATGTAATTTTGTTTGTATGGTAATTTTACGTTGCATCTTTTTTTACCAATCTTTTTTTATTTATACACGGAGAGAATTTTCTTTTAAAATTTACCCTGAAAATATGGTGATTGTGGTACAATACAATATTTTAAAGATTTTTACCATCCACTTCAGTAAAATTGATCAAACTTATTTTATAAAAGCAAATTATATATAAGATATATAAGATAATATATATATAAGATATACTTTACTGTAGTTTTATTAATGAATGAGAGAGATTTATATTATAAAATTCTTCGAAATACAATGTTGTCCCACGACTGTCATATTTTCAAGGTAAATTCTAAGAAAAAATTCTCTCCGTGTAATAGTATTAAGGAGATACGAAAGTTTAAATAAGGCGAAGTAATTTTAAATTTAATTGTCATTTCACGAAAAGAACGATTTTGCTGACGCGTATTTAAAAATTTAGGTAGTTTTAGATCTGAAAATAATTTTGTTGGTCCATAATTGGAGAATAATTATGTAGAGAATAATGATCAATTATCTAAATCTGAATCAGCGGATACCAATCTCAAGTATGTCACTGGGTAATCAATAAATTCGCAATAAAATTTAATTAAAAAATCACTGAAACGTGGAATTTCTAATCTAGGTAATTTTATTTTAGTGTATAAACTTAATATATATAGTATTGGAACGTGAAAATATATAGTCTTTTAATTATATATAATACTCAAACTCTCTCTCTTTTTCACTTGAATTTTATTGATTCAGATTTAGACTACCAAACTTCACGTATTATTGCCGAAATAATTTTAAATTTTGTATACATATATTTTTTGTACACACAAAAAATTACTATATATCCTTAACTGATCGCGTTCTGACCATTACGTTTGACTCGGTGGAATCGGCAACCAGAGCAAAGGAAACACTACATGGAGCAGACATATATTCTGGCTGCTGCACACTAAAAATCGACTTCGCAAAGGTGAGTACATCAGCAATTATCTTCTGTAATTGTTCTCTTGTTTTTAAAGGAAATTTATGCGAATTTAGATATGCAAATATTACGCAACGGTAAGGCGAACCGCATTCGCCGACGTTAAAGAACAATAGAAAAAGTACGGTTTAAAAAATTCTGTCGTCTAGGGCATTTTACATAATGCCACTCGTGCTAATGTGGTGGAAGTTCGGAAAATCTATTTGCACCATCCATTTTACGCGTCTCGTTATCAATTCTAATTAGCCACACTATGAGTGCAGTTGCTTGTAATATAAATTTTGTATAATATTTACAATTTATTAACGATACTTAATATAAGTATATTGATAAAATCGATTTAATTGCACTCACGGTGCATCCATAATGAAAAATTCTATATAATTGCAAGAGATATAAATTATGTTAAATTATACAAATTTAGAGCTATTGTATTTTTTCGGCCATAAATTATGTCACGAAAGGAAAAACCTAAACCTTTTCCTCTCCTGTATTAAATTTAAAATAAAATCTGATTATATAGAATTGCTAAAATAATTTAGGACGTGACCCAAAAAGATTTAATTCGAAAGTTAATTATCAAGATGTTTCGATATTTCATTAAATATTAAAGAGCTGTTCTTGTTAATGACTTTCCATCGAATTTCCGTTTAATAATAATACATTTCGAATATGTCAAAGGGAATATTAACAGGGAAATATCGATTATTCTGTACAAAATATTTTACGAGAAAATTTAATCCGTTTAAAAGAAAAAAATTTCATATTTGTATAGTTACAACTTATTGCAGAATGATTTTGCAAAATTTACCCACGATATATCCATTAATCGAGCGAATCTTTTATGTGACAAGCGAAGTGTATATCTTTTGTGCATGATATTATAATACTGATATAATAGGAGAACCTGTTTCTATAATTACGTATCATATAGCTTCTGTCCTGATTGAATCTAAATCAGCAGAAGCTTACATCGTCGATTTAAGTAACTTATCGTAATCAATGCACCCGACGCTGTCGTAAATCTTGTAATTTAACGCTTGTAACGAATAAGTGCGACACAAGATGGATTAACCGGTTTTTATCTGATTCTACCTACCTACCTACCGCGCGCATTAGCGTGACACGGCTAACAGCTGCACTCTTTCACGCCCCTGTCGCGACTTTCACGCGAGAAGAATTAAGCTTCGTTCATACACAATACTGCTATTGAACGAACAAACGTTTGTTGCTAAAGTACCGTAAAGAGAATTGTTTCGAGTAATCCTTCAAAGGTGTATATAAAAATTATATCGCCGACTTCGATCAACGTATCGCCCTTATATTTTCAATTCGTAATCGAACTTTTTGTAACAAAAAAGAGTATGCTGTTTGAAACAGCTCCTTATTTTATTTTGCTCCCGTTAGTTACGGTCAGAAATTATTGGTGTTAGCCCCAAAAAGTCATAATTTATTTTTGCTTTTGTGATCGCAATGTCGGCTCGCGATAGAGACGTTGAAAGGAATATCCGGTACATTAGGCCGATGATTACAGGAGGGAAAAAGTGGCTCGTGCTATACGAAAGCATGTCTCTTTGATGAGAGCACGCATTATTCAGAAAAACATACGAGGAGCAGTCGAATATTAACGAAGCGTAGTAGAATAAAATTATTCATTAATGAAGACGTAAGCCATGCGTGTCATATTAGATTGCATCGGATATAACTGTTTTTCTACAAGTCTTAATAGTCCGGTGTAATTATTATGTAAAGATTGGTGCAAGAAATATTTTATCATCACGAATCCATCTTTACATGATAATTGTACCGCTTATTGAGATTTGTAGAGGCTATGCCGATAAAATATTTGCTCCGACAGAAAGAAAAGAATTCGTTAGAAAGTCGTATAAGAATATTTGCAAAATATTGTACATCCCTTGCTGGCAAGAATAGTCTCAAAATTCGATTAGTATAGAACCCATCTTTTTACTTGGTAGAAATGTGCCTTCGTGCCAATTTCTTCACCATCTTTTTACGTTCAACTTCATGGTATCTTTATTGCTAACTCCCTTTGGAATATCGGTTTAGGTTTTCCTTGCATAACGAAATCCAATCATAGAATAGCGAAAATAATGATAACGACAATGGTCGGCGATAACATTATTTTCTCGCTCGAACAGGTAACTCGAAATTACTTCAACTTGCTATTATCCTTCCCGATCGCTTTCTTGCTGCCGACCGTGCGGGTCATATTGGAAAATGTTAGATATTTATTGGCCAAGTCAACTGTATTTTTCGTTCGAATATCGCGCACAGCTGCTTCTTCTGCAACTGAGTACATACTTGAAATTGTGAAATACGAGTTAATCGACTACTGTCGTTTTCATTTCTTTGTAACGAATCTTTATTTATTTTTGGAAATGTTAAAAATAATCACTTAATATACAGTACAAAAACTTAATACAGTAACTAACTACAATTAGATTTACAAAGCTTTTCCTGAAAAGAGAATCACGATAAGTACATCAGGAAACGTTAAAGATTAAAACAGCATTAATAATTAATAATTTTATTATATGCACTTAGAAATATAATTATTATACATTAAATCTGTATGTAATATATAAACCTAAGATACTATGTCTTTTGATTAAAAGAAAGAAATATTTAAAGAAAGCGATCTACATTTAATAAAGTCAGAGACAGCCTGTACAATTCGGACACAAAGTTTCAAATGAAGAGCATAGAAATGTCGGCAAAAATTTGGGGTAGTAGAAATATGCACATAGCAGAGAAGCTCTAAAGATGCTCGCGCACGCTAGAGCGAAAATAGAGTCGAAGGCAGAACCTAAAGCTCGAAATTGAATTTCGAGGCGGGGCTTGTGACAGAAGTTTACCCACCCCTTATCTCCCTATTGCCAATAGAATGGCCTGCCAAATAGCGGTCGTACTTGTTGAAAAGCGCGCGTCGGATGTAATACTGTATCGCCACGCATGAGCCATATGAATCATACGATGGATCTTATACTCGCGTATATTTGCGCGCCAGGATGAAGTATCGCAGACGTATTGGATACATCGAAGGAATATTTGAACAAGTCCCTGCATCCCATGCTGCAAATCCCTTTCGATACATCCTCCCTTGAGCGTCCCTTTCGATGCGTCCGCGTTCTCTCTATCGTAGGTTCTTTTTTTTTTCGTAAGAACAAACGTGAATGGAATGACAATATCGTATCGATTACGACACGGTCTTGCAGAGATTGCTTGGCGCAGAAGCGGACTTCCGTACGGAGATTTTCTTTGTTTCTGTAAAATCTTCTGTAACATGTTCTCTTGTCTGCGAGTAACATTCGCTTTTAGACAATAAAGAATAGCGCCATTGTGTACTCTTCCATAAATTCTTTTTTTTTTTCTTATATATAGCTTGATAGCATAACTTTGTTACTCTTGTATAATCACAGAAGAACATTATGTACATCAACTTGTACTATGCACTTTTTCTCGCTTTTGAAATTTCTTTTTAATGTGAGCTGTTTTTAATTTTTCTTTCTTTCTTTTCGGAATTTGTTGCTCTCGCTTGGGGACATTATTAGTGATCCCGAAACATTTACGGAATTAGCACTTCCACATCCATTGTTCCGTTCTTCCTATAAGTTTTTCTTTCTCTTTTCTCCCTGAAATTTCTCCTCCTCGAATTCGGTATTGCTAGCGCTGCAGCTCGCAATGTGTAAAACGTACTTTTCTTTACTCAGTAATGCCTACGTTATCTTCATTTCTTGAGAGTGCAATATTCAAAGTTTCATTATTAAACTTTCGTTGGCTACGGATCGGCGAAGAAACGAGATTGTTTGTTGAAGTTGAAAAAGTCGATAAAGTCATTCATTATTTAGACAGTAAAAGCCGGTTGCGACGTATAACTGTACCGATTCAACTGCCGTTTTTAGTCGGAGCGTGAAGTCAAATTAATTTAAATGTCATACCACTGTTATCGCGAGGCTTCGACGTCGGTTTTCACTTCCGGAACTTGAAACCCAATTAATTCCTCTTCGTCGCCATATCATAATTCTCGGAGTGACGATAAGACGGACGCGCAACGTGCCCGGCGAGTGATCCTCATTCGACGAATATCATAAAGGACGTCGACAGATTGACAAAGTGGGTCTACGTGCTTACCGCCCTCGAAAGTGCGCGAATTTATCGGACGGAAAGTATCGCCAGGAATTGGAAGTATTTACTCGCCGTTGGAGCGACATTAACGACTTTGGCGGTGCGAACACGCACGTCCAATGTGTTTTACGGCTCTCTAAAATCCAAAAAGGAGAAGTAGAAGAGGCTGCAAGCGCAAAAAATCAACGAGGAGTGCCAAGCTCATATAGGACGTCTCGGGACGATTGCCAGCCCTTAATTCAACATTTCTTAATCGAGTCGAAGTCAGCTTTACGATAATTTGATCGAATGCCAAAATGCTGTTTTTTTCGCTCGTAGCTTTTTATCTTTGACATTAACTATCTAAATGTTAAACAAAAAAAATGTTTTTCAAATTTTTGTTAAAAATAGAAACGCGTCATGGATGTATAAGGAAATTTTCATTTCAAAGTGTATTTTCCGCGCATATCGTTAGTGCTAAATGCGAGAGAGAATATAATGTTCCCCTTGATTACATCACACGAATTCTATTTTTCACTTATTCGGTTTGCATGACGATGCGATTTCCGCTCGCGCAAATGGAAGAATGCAAATTTCGTAATTACTCACGGGATATTACCCCGCGTGTCGGGTACTTCTTTCCGTATGAAGGAAATAACAGGGCATATCACGCCCCGTAGAAAACGACGTTACAAAGGCATAATGACGCGCATAAAAAACAATTACCGGCACGATTGCTGCTTAAAAGTGGGCGGGATTTGAAGAAGCGTAATTTTCGGCGCCTTTGTGACTTTACAAGTGGGATCACCGTTGTGGGTTCCCGTATTAAGGTATGCCGTTGCGATCCCGAAATTACATTTTCG